ATGATCCTCCTGCCTCAGCCTCCCCAGGGCTGGGATTACAGGTATGCGTCACCACACCCTGCTTTCCCTTGCTGTTTTATTTGCCCACTGTCCACACTGACAGTTGAAAATTCCATTTCCGTGCTGTGGTTTCGCTATAACAAAACAAATGTGACCCTAAGAAGCACCACACTATATAAAACTGTGCAATGAAAACTAAAGAGGGAAAAGTGGTGCTGCAGTTGCTACACTCAAAATCTTCACTAGTGACCAACAAAAGAGTTAATAAACTCATAAAAATGTTAAGTATTTTACTAAATGGTTAAGAAATACATAGTTACTACAATAAACAAGATATTTTACCTTGAAAAAGTAACAAGGTAGTAGCTTCATGAAGCGGCAGGAGGGTTACCTGAAACCTGACAAAACATTTCTGTGGATTACCAAAACAGCTTATTTTAAATGGATCTCCCTCCAGAAGATGACTCACTTCATGGTACATATGGCTGCCAAAGAGCCTCAGCTGAAATACCTGCTATAGGCAAAAAGCCCAGCCAGACCTGAGAGAGACACAGAATGCTGGGGAACAGGCTGCTTCCTCAGCCAACAAGGCAGCTCCGGCAAGCTCCCTGGCAAGAGCACAGGGAAATGAGAAGAAAGTCCAGGGCTGCAGCCCTGCAGGGGCCCCAGGCCTGATCTTATCAGTCAGGTTCCTGTAAGGAGACATGGCCACAGCAATTATTCAAACAGGAAGAATTCAATGTGAACAATAATTAGCTAGGAAGAGAGTTGTTAAGTGGGTCAGTGAAAGGGTGAAAAGAGAACTCAGATCACAGAACCCATCAGAGCATCACCACAGCAGGGATGAGGGAGCAAAGGTGGAGAGGTTAGAGGTTACAGAAAGTCTGACCCGTGGAGACTGCTGGGCTGGCCTGGTGGGCAATGAGGCTGACTCTCCCGGGTGTTGGAAAACAGCCCACGGGGTATCAGTCCAAGACACTATTGGTGCAAAGCAGCCAGCCCAAGGCTCCCGCTGGCGCCCCCTATTGACAGGTCCTAATGACCAGATGCAAATGACCCATACTATGGGAGCATGAGTCAAAGCTGAGAGACTACAGCCTAGCACGGGACGCATTCCTCAGCTCTAATCCCATCTGCTTACATCACCCCAGCACTGCAGGACAGCTGTTTTGTGAGCCCTTGGTTTGGGGTTTCTGAGAAATAAAAATGCAATTAAAATATTTTCGAGGGCTGGCGAGACAGCTCAGCGCACTAAGTGACTGCTTAGGCAAGTGTGGGGACCAGGTTATGATCCCTGGCACCACAGGCCACTCCAGCCCTGCCCCTTGGGCACACAAAGCTGGCCAATGAATCCAGGTGTGGTGGTGCACACCTGTAATCCCAGCACTGTGGAGACTGAAAACAGGAGGATCACTAACGAGTCTGAGCTGCTACTGAGACCTCATACCAAATATATATATCCTCTTATCTTCCCTTCCTGCCTTCATTCCTTGTTCCCTAAATGTTTCTTGAATAAAACCAAACTCATATCGACAAACATGCTAACTTTTCCTGCCTAAAAATATGTCACCTACCTTTTTAAACAATATACCATTGTCATTTGAGTCAGACATTCAAATTAAGGCAGCCCATGAGCAAAACAATTTGAGTTGGGCATGGTGCCACATGCCTATAATCTCAGCACTTCGGAGGCTGAGGCAGGAAAATCACCATGAGTTCAAGATCAGCCTAGGCTATATAGTGAATTCAAAGCCAGCCTGAACCACAAAGCAAGGCCCTGTCTCCCAAAACAATGTGTTTAAGGGATGGCCAAATAGCTCAGTGGATTAAAGCACCTGCAAGCAGGCTCAGGAGCCAGGGGTTCAATCTCCAGGCCTGCCATGCCGGCCCCACTCCTGGGGCACACTGAGATGACACAATTGAGACTGGGCGTGTTGGCCCGCACCTGTAATCCCAGCCCTTGGGAGGCTGTAAATAGGCGACCACTACAATTCCAATCTAGTAGTGAGAGCCTGAACACCCTGTAGACCCTTCCCTAAAATACAAAAAAAAAAAAAAGTTTAAAAAACAAAAAAGCCATGAAGATGTTCATCATGGTATTAGAAACAGAGAGACAGAGACAAAGAAAGCCACATATTACCCAATAGGGGAGTAAGTTTTGAGACAGTTCCTTTTTTTTTTTTTTTTTTTTTTTTTTTTGCAGAACCGGAGATTGAACTCAGGATCTTGTGCTTGCCAAGGAAGCGCTTATTCTACTGAGCTATCTCCCCAGCCCCCGAGACAGTTCCTCTTGATATAACAGGTCTACATTTAAAATCAGAGTTATGAACTGGGCATGGTAGCTATAATCCCAGCACTTGAGAGGTTGAGACAGGAGGATCACAGCTAGTTCGAGACCAGCCTGGGGGCTACAAAAGTGAGCACAAGGCCAGCCCTGAACTTCACAGAAAAAGACCCTGTCTCAAAAAAAGAAAATCAGAGTTATGGAAATGGTGTCCCACTATGAAAACAAACATATTTATTCTTTTGAGAGACTAGATGACAAAATAGGTAAAGAACAAACTGCAGAACCAAAGACATTCGAGTCCCAATCCTAGCTCTACAACTTTCTATAAGAGCAGTGGGAGTTACCCTCTCCTCATCTCTAATGTCAGAAAAGCGTCTACTTTGTGGGATTATATGAAGGACCAAATGAGAAAAAAACAAAACAATCTGTACAGAACTTGGCCAGCCTGAACTACAAGGCAAGACCCTGTCTCTCAAAACAATGTGTTTTAAAAAATCCTTGAAGGTGTCCATCATGGTATTATTGAGAGACAGAGCGAGAGCGAGAGCACACTGCCCTAGGTATTTCATAAGTAGAAGGTGCTTTATTGTCTCAAGTAAACAGGCAGAACAGAATTATGTAGCAACCTTGCACTTGGAATTGTGCTCAAAAGAAAAACAAAATGCACTGCAGAAAAAACTAAAAGGAAATACAGGTAAGTATTAAACAACTGTTGTATTCGGAGGTGAAATTATGGGTGACTTCCCCCTTTCTCTGTTGTGACAAATTGTGACATAATAAAGCATAGGGTATATATCCCATCTCTGCCCCCAGTTCCTAAAGCCTTGTAATTTCCTGAGCAACAGAAAGCTAGGAGAGCTTTTTGTTCTAGTACTTTGTCTCAACTGTCCTAAAATAGCAATCCTTGGATTGCTGGGTGATGGGCACATCTTCTGATTCATGTGACCACTTGTGGGGGCCCCTAGATGGTTTCAGAATGGGAGGGGATCTGTTATAGAAGGGCCACTTTGCGAAGAAGCTTGGAACTTTAAGCCTGTGCTCTGAGATGGGAAGAGGGCTAAAGACTGAGTTAATAATCATGCCTATATGAGGAAGCCTCTGTAAAAATCCCCGGAACTACAGGTCTAGGAGACTTCCAGGTGAGTGACTCTATCCACACGCCAGGACGATAGGATAGGAGCCTCTGAGCTCAGGACCCTTCTGGACTTCTCCCTAGGAACTTCTTTATCTGATGATTTGTATCTTTTCTTATTTTTTGGTGCTGGTGGTGATGGTGCCACTGGTGATGGTGGTGGTGGTAGCGGTGGTGGTGGTAGCGGTGGTGGTGGTAGCGGTGGTGGGGGCAGTGATAGTGGTAGTGGTGGCCATGGGGGGGTGGTTTTGTTGTTTTGTGGTGCTAGGAATTGATTCCAGGATCTCATGTACCTTAAGCAGGCACTCTGTCACCTCAGCCTATCATGTATAATACAGTTGATATATACCAGTAAACATGTAAGAAAGAAAAGTATGTCTCTGAGTTCTGTGAGCCATTAGAGCAGTCAGCACAAGTGAAGAGGAAGCTGTGGGTGGCCCTGAATTTAGCCAATTCAGAGGTGGCCATCCTGGACTCAGTACCTGGAGTGGTGCCTGAAGGGGGACAGTGTGTGGAGCAGAGCTCTTCCCGGCACGGGCTCCAAGGACACTAAGCTGTTGCTATCAGAATCAGCCTATCTGCCATGCAGTTGTGTTCCCTAGAGAACTGGAGAATTTCTTAGTATAGAAAACATGCTTGATATCAAAATGTTGTAAATGAAACAATTTTCTTTTATAAATATTAACCATACAGTTTGATATTTTAATAAACATAAAACATATCATAACTTTTTTTTTTTTTTTTTTTTTTTTGAGACAGGATTTTGCTATGCAGTTCAGGCTGGCCTTGAGCTCACTTTGTAGTCCAGGCTGGTCTTGAACTCACAATGATCCTCCTGCCTGAGATGGGATCACAAGAGTGCACTACCACACCCAGTTCTAAATACTTTAGAGCAAATGTTTTCTTGATTTTTTCTTAAAAATTTTGTCAAAGTAAAAAACCCTAACATAGCTGAGCATAGAGATGTACACATATTAGCCCAACTACTTAGATAGGATGAGATGGGAGAATCACAAATTTGAAGGCAGTCTGAGAAACTTAGCAAGACCTGGTCTCAAAATAAAATCATTAAAAAGGAGGTAGTGCTGTAGCTCAGTGGTAGAGTGCTTACCTACCACACATGAGACCCTTGCTTGTTTCATTTCTCAGGGAAAAAAAAAAAACCCTCCTAACATAAAATGTATCATTTTACCAGTAGGGAGTACAATTCAATACCCAGCACACTCACGCTTTGGTACAACCATCAACATCAGCCCTCTTCCTTTCTCATCTTTGCATATGGAAATTCTACTCATTAAGAAATAACTCCCTGGGGGCCGGGAAGATAGCTCAGTGGAATAAGCACTTGCCTGGCAAGCTCAAGGACCTGAGTTCAATCCCCGGTTCCGCGAAAGAAAGAAAGAAAGAAAGAAAGAAAGAAAGAAAGAAAGAAAGAAAGGAAGGAAGGAAGGAAGGAAGGAAGGAAGGAAGGAAGGAAGAAAGAGAAAAAAAAAGAAGCCACTCCCTGCCCTAGCCCTCAGCAACCATCTTTCTGTTCTAAGACTACTTTTTGGACTCAGTTCCTCTCAGTAAGTGCTTTGCTGACTAATGGGATCACCACAGTGTACAAAGACCAATACAGAGAAGGTTAGCATGGACCCTGTGCAAGGATGACACGCAAATTCATGAAGCGTTCCATGCTTTAAAGGGAGGGGGTACTGGGGAGATAGCTCAGCGGTCTAAGCACCTGCCTGGCAAGTGCAAGGACCTGAGTTTGATCCCTGGTACCACATGCCATGCCAGTCCTACACGCTGTGCCAGCCACCAAAACTAGGTGGCTATAATCCCAGTGCTGGGGAGGCTGAGACAAGAGGATCTTATTTTTTTAAAAAAAGGCCTTCTTGCAGGTAGGTAACTGAGTCTGTCCCAAATAATGCTAACAAAATAGGACTGGAGGAAACAAAAGTGGAAATGAAAACTGAACATGGGCCTGCTCTCCACAGGCTCCAGCAACCCTGCCACAGATGCCCCTGACTATTCTGCACCAAGACGCTGATTGTTGGAGTCACTTCCATGTTGTGTATCCAGTGGCAGGTTTTATAGCCCCCTGACAACTACAACCACATGTCACTGCCACTCGATGTCCTCAGGAAGCCCATCACGGTGAGGCTTCTGGTCAGGGTCTCCATTCCCATCCTTTTCCATTACAGGCCTAGCAGCCAACTCCTGATGTTTGGCCATGACCTTGGATTTTCACGTCTTTGTTCTGCAAGACCTCTTGCCCTCAGAGTCACCCAACTGGAAGCCATCTCTGTGGGCAAAACATCCCACAAGTCAGGAAAAGCGATGGCTCATTAGTCAGCAAATATCCAAAATGTTGCCTGTATGCATTTCTGCTTGGCGGCCTAAACAAGTCAGTCCCGAAGTTATCAGGTGGGCCCAAGCAAGGCAGGCATCCTTATCAGGGCAAAAGTAGGTGAGGTTGTTCACCCCTGCACAGAGGAGGGTACCTGGATGGGTGGCACGGGTTGTCAGGAGAGATGGGTTGTAGGAAAGACAGGCTTGTCACCGCAGGAGAGCTTTGCAAGCAAAGAAGGAAACGTGAATGAACTGTGTGCTTTTAGGTTTAAGATTGCGAGTATCAGTGTGAATTCATGGCCTCCAACATAAGTAGATAACCAGATTAAAAATATAAAAATATACACTATATATATATTATATTTTCTAACTCTTTCCTTTAATGATTTTGTTTCCCATGAAATACTTACTCGATCAATGCAGTTGACCTTCTAGATCCATAAATTCTGTGCCTACAAATTAATCCAACTGTGGATTCAAAATACAGTGGTACCTCAGCTCACAGACAATTTTGTTTGCAAACAAAAGCGTTTGACAAAATTTTGCTTTTGTTTGTAAACTCTACATTGGGTGATGAAAACAACCACAGTCATCTTTCCTGCACAAGCACAAACATGGCCATCTTTTCCAAAATCATATAATAAATTAAGTTCACAAACCAAAATATTACTGTATTTGAAAAGATTGTATCATACTGAAATGTGCAGATTTTTTTCTTGTCATTGTCTCCTAAACAACATGGTATAACAACAATATACATAGCATTTACATTATATCAGATACAAAGTGATTTGGAGATGATTTAAAGCCTAACGAGGGGGACTGGCAAGATAGCTCAGCAGACTAAATGCCTGCTTAGGCAAGTGCACGGCCTGGGGTCTGATCTCTGGCACCCCACACCAAACCAGCCCTGCCCCCAGGGGTGCCGGCCACCGAGACCTGGTGTGGTGGCACACGTCTGTAGTCCCAGTGCTTGGAAGGCTGAAAACAGGAGGATCACCATGAATCCAAGCTGTGTAATGAGACTCTGTACCAATAAAAAAAAAGAAAAAGAAAACCAAAAAAAACATAAAATAAAATATGTAAAAGGATACACGTAGGTTGCATAAAAATACTGTGTCATTTTACATGATGATATTGAGCATCCTTGGGTTTTGCTGTCTACAAAGTTTCCAAAAGTCCAATAATCCATACAGGATACTACAGGACAACTGCATATCTTTTTTCTTCCATTAAAATACTTCTCTTTTCTATATTGTTCATAACCTGTACAGGTTTTAGAATCACTAAAGCTTAGGGGCTGGGGAGATAGCCCAGTAGAATAAGTGCTTGCCTGGCAAGCACAAGGGTCTAGTTCAATCCCCAGTTCTGCCAAAAAAAGAAAAAAGAAAAAGAATCACTAAAGCTTATAGATGATATCCTTTTCTTTCCCTGGCTTGAGAGACCAACAGCCACTAACAAAAATCTCAAAGGAATGAGCACAGCTAGTTGTTCAAGTCTTGGCATCTAAAGGCCCTTTCTCCTGGAAGAAACAAGCATCCTTGGAGAATGAGCTAATTTCACAGCTGGAACAAAAAAGCACAGGATGAGGCAACAGCACCTCCCTCTAGAGAGTAAGGAATACTTAAGAAAAGAAAAAGGATTTATTGAAAAAACACATAATCTAGCTTGAAAATGTCTCCTTGCCTAAATCTAGCAGAATTTGAGCATCAAAATAGATGATGAGGCCCGGGAGATAGCTCAGCAGCTTAAGTGCCTGCCTGGCAAGCACAAGTTCCTGAGTTCAATCCCTGGTACAAAAAAAAAGATGGTGAGCCAGGGCATAGTGTCCTAAACCTGTGAACTTAGCACTCTGGGAGGTCAAAGGGAGAAGGATCCCAAGTTCAAGCCCAGCTGGAGAAATCTATCAGCTTGGGCTGGGGATATAACGCAATGTGAAGATCTTTAGTTCAATTCTCAATACCACCAAAAAACTAAAATAAAAAGTAAAATAGGAATCCCTTACTCTATACTAATATTGATTAATTAATAGTGAAGAGAAACTCTTCCATATAGAGGATGCCAACTAATAAATGTAGTAAATAATTGACTTGGCAACTATCATAGTAATAATTAAGCCAAGGATCATCAATGGTACAAAATCCAGTGGAGTAAGTTAGATGAGGATCAGGATATTTACATATTCACATCTCCCCACTAAGTGCTTCATAAGTACAAACAGGATGATATACTGTAGAAGAGGCTGGAAGATACCATTTTAATCAAGTAATACAAAGCTAACACCACCAGTAATGGAATAAATTGATGTCAGTGCATCCCGTTTGGACACGATGCCTTAGAAGAAAATGTGTCCCTTCTGGGATTCTCTACCAAAAGCCCAGAACTAGGACCTAACATAAGCAAACAACAGACAAATCCAAATTAAGAGACAGTCTACAAAATAACCAACTTATCTCCAAAGTGCCAAGGTCACGAAAAGACTAAGGAACTATCCTACATTTAAAATAGTAAAAAAGACCAATGAGACATGATACCCAGGGGCTGAAGTGTAGCTCAGTGGTGGAGGCTTGCCCAGCTGTGCAAGGTGCTAACTTTGATCGATAGTGCTTCAAAAATTAAAGTAAAAAATGATAACCAAAGCCAACAATATATGATTCCAGACTGAACCATTTCACTATAAAGGACATTGTTGGAACAACTGGTCAAAGTCGAATGGAGTCTAAAGATTGTATGACAGTAACACACTGATCTTGAATTTCTTTGATTTTAATGGTTGTGTTATAATTAAATAAGAGAATACTTTTGTTTGTAGAAAACCCAGTTTAAAATATTTGAGGTCTAAGAGCTGTCAAGTCAACAAACCACTTAAAAGTAGTTCATTGGGAAAAAAATGTTCTCTGTACTGTTTCTGCAGCTTTTCCATAAGTTAGAAATGATTCAGAACAAAAATGTCCCAAAAATGTATGTCAGCTGTAACCAAAAGCTCTGACTCTTCATTTATCTCACTAAAAGCAAAGGCTACAGGCAGCTCAGGTGGCCAAACCTGTTCATCCTGACTATCAGGGACAGAGTGCCAGGCACAGGCTGGGCAAATACCTCTCTATCCAGAGGTCAAGTCCAAGGCTGGGCAAGGGAAGGCTGCACCGAGGCTGCAGGCCAAGGCTTAAGTGACAAAGCTCCAAACTAAGTGCTCCACGAGTGGGGCAGAAGCTTGTGGCCTCCAGGGCCTGGGGGAGGAGAAAAACAGCCTGGGATTCCTTCCACACCCAGCTGGGATCAAGACCTTCCCCTCAGGCCCTGCGAACTCAGAGAAGGTGGAGCTTGGAAAGGGAACGGGAGAGAGGAAGTGGAGATCACAGAGCCTTTCACATCGTTTATACTTACTGCTCTTATTGAAGTCCTCAAGCCCTGTTGTTCTTGGGCCTCTGTGTCATGACCCCTGTGCAGCTTCCTCACAAGGGATGTGCAGGGACCAACTGGTGTGCAGCTGCTATATCCAAACAGGGGCTCGCCTGAAAGCCAGTGCTTCAGTAGTTGGACATGAAGAGAGTGTGAGGTTTGGTTTCTCCCCCAGTAAATCTGCTCCTTGGCTTTTTCATCTGTCAACAGGCTTTATTTTTTCCCTGGGATAGTCGGGCAAATGTCAAAAGTGGGAAAAAGCTCAACATCTATTGCTCTGTCTCTTCCAGGATGGGGCTGTGAACTGGGGTCACACAAGGACTGTACATCCAGCCTCACACCACCCTTTCCACCCATTCTCCCACAGTGCCTAATGAGTGCTGGCTCACAGTATGTGCTCTGTGTATGGCATGTTGCTTTGTACACATACTGCCTGTGTCGGCATCTCTGGAAGGCAAAGAGAGAAGCCCCACCACCACACTGCTTCCGCCCGTCTTCAGCCTGCAAAATCTCCTCCTGGGCAACGTTATCCTAAATTAGGATATTCATGTTAGTAGGTGTCGTGAGTGGCTTGTTTACTTACTAAGAGATGGATAAGACATCATTTTCTGTCATAAAAAATTGACAAGTTCTTGGTCCCAAAACAATAATGGCCCCTAGAGATAAGAAGCCAGGCACTGGAGGTTGCAGGGGAGACACAACTCCCCAGTCCACCAGCACCCACTCACACCCACTCCTCACCACACACACACACACACACACACACACACACACACACACACTCTATGTGCGGGCACTGTCCAATGTACTGAAAGGGTGAAGTTTTTCTCAACAGAGCACAACAGGGCTCAGTCAGAGGGGTACAGAAAGGATCAACAGGAGAAATTTCCACTCCTCTGATACTCAGCAAACTCTGGGGAATGCACATCTGCATCCTGAGCAGAGATG